CGTTTCTTCCCCTTCTGCTTAATTGCTCATCCTACCTGGTGCACACATTCTGTTGGACCTTCTGGCATTGTTAGCTTTCTTGTCTCTTTCTAGAATATCCTTGAAAATTGTTCTGGAGTACTGGTTTCATGGTCATGCATTTCTTCAAGTGCTCTTATAATGGAGCTATCTTATTTTCCATCAGTTTTTGAAAGACAGCTTTGTGAGGTTATCAGCCTGGGTTGGAAGATGGGGTGGGGCTTGAAAGTCTTCACTTCAGGCTTCCTAGCCTTTAAGGTGTGTGTTGAGAAGTCTCCTGAAATTCTCATGGGCTTTCCTTTATCAGTGATTCATTGCTTCTCTCTAACAACTGCCAAGATTCCATTCTTGTGTTGGACTTCTGAGAATTACTGTGAGGTGATGTGGGATGGTTCTTTTCCGATTGTGGCTCTTTGGAGACTATATACGCCTTACTTATCTGTAAGTGAAGTTCCTTTCCTGCATTTGGAGTGTTTTCTGCTATTACTTTTGTAAACAGGCTCTCGGCCATGTGTGCTGTCTTCTGATTTTCACTGATTCCAGTTCATCTTAGATTGGTCTTCTGTGCATAATCTAGCAGCTGTTGCTCCACTTTTCATGTTCTCTTGCTGTGTGTAGATGCCTCTTCAGTGACTGATCGCTGACCAAGTCCTGTCTTCTAGTTCTGACACGTTGTCCTCACGTTGGTTGGTTCTTCTGTCTGTACTTCCAACAGGAGTTTTAGTCTCTTGAATTCCTGTTTGACACCTTTCCACGGACTCACTTTCATGCTCAGCACTCATGTTTTGCACTGCTTTGTCTAGCTCACATAGCTTTTTATTGCTGTCTTCTGTAGCTTCACTGATCATTTGATTTATTAGAATGAACCATTATCTATTTAGTTATATCTTTTTTGAATTGACCAAGCACCATGTTAGTCTATTTTGTTATCTGTTCTCCTTTCAAATAATTCAACTGTGTGACTTCTGATTTTCTCCCCCTCAATGCTCCCTTCACTGGTTTTGGATAAGTTGGGAGTTTGAGGTGGCATTTGTTGTTTTATCTTGTTGTGTTTCTATTATACTTTTCAGATTTTATGTACTCTTTCAGGTTCTTGCATTAGTGAGACAATATAATGTTTACACATGAGTCTAATTTATTTCACTTATGATTCTGGTTCTCTAGCTGTACTCATTTACCTATAAAAGCCTCAAGTTTATGTTTGTCATAGCTGAGGAATGCTCCATTGTGTAAAAATACTACATCCTTTTTATCCATTCCTCAGTTGATGGACATTTGGGTTGTTCCCAAGATTTAGCTATATAATAAATTGTGCTGCTATAAACATGGGTGCACATATATCACTGTGGTATGAGGATTTCAGTTCATTTTGAACTATTTCCCAGGAGGGCAATAGCTGGCTTGAATGGGATCTCCAATCCTAGTATTTTAAGGAATCTCCACACTGATTTCCATAATGATTGTACCGGTCTACACTCCCACCAACAGTGGAGAAGGGTTCCTTTTTCCCCACAGCCCCTCCAGCATTTGTTATCGGTTGACTTCTCCATGACAGCCATTCTTTCTGGGGTGAGATGGAATCTCAGTGTTGTTTTAATTTTCATTCCTCCAATGACCAATGGTGTGAAACCATTTTTCATATATTTATTTGCCATTTGTATTTCTTCATCTGAGAAGTGTATATTCATTTCAGATACCCATTTTTTGATTGGATCTTTGAATTCTGGAGGTCTGATTTTTATTTTTTAATTCTTTATATGTTCTAGAGAGAAGTTCTTTGTCTGAGAGACAGTTGGCTAAAATTTTTCACCATTGTTTTTGTGCTAAGGCTTCCAGGTTGATGATAGTTGAAAACTTCGTTGCTTGTACTGAGACCTCTTTAGTTAGTGTCTGCTTTTCAGTGATTTACATCATTAAATACAGGCCTTTGCCTCTGCCCCAAGGTATCCCCATCTGTTTATTTGGGAGAGGAAGCTGTAGTATATTTGTCTCAGTACCCAATTGTCTAGAAAGTGGCAGTGTAATTAGTGTCACGAAGGCGATCCAGGTATTGACTGACAGGGAAAATGAATCGATAGCAACAACTATGATGCCCATGGTACTAAAATCAGCAACAGGAGCATCACAGACAAACTTCATATTGACCTAGCCTAATAACCAATAATGCACCATCCTTAACCATAGCAAAGAGATCAGTGATCATGTATAAACAGTAAGAGAGATCAAACATTGACATATAGTAAATATGTGTTAAAAGGGACAACTTTACCTCCACTAACAATACAACAGTATTCAACAGTAACAGAAGATAGGCAACTATCTACAGATTCATAAGGTTTGGTGGCTTTACTAGTAAGGAGAGAGGATGTGGGGAATGGAAGCATGAAAAAGTAAAATTTGAAAAATTAAGCAATGGAAGGGCCAGTCATATAGCTAAATGGACTAAAGTGCCTGCTTAGGTAGATGCAGGGACCAAGATTCGATCCCCGGTGTGCCCTACCGGCCCTGCCCCTAGGGTGTGCTGAGATGGTGACTGAGAATGGGTGTGTCAGTGCGCACCTGTAATGCCAGTGCTTGGGAGGCTGAAAACAGGAGGATCACTATAAGTCCAATCTGTGTAATGAGAGCCTCTAGACCCTATGCTAAATATAGTTTTTAAAAAAGAAAGAAAAGTTAAGCAATGGAAGATGAGAAGAAGATGACAAAAATGAAATAAAGGATCCTATTAAGAAGTAAAAGAGGGACTGGGGAGATGACTCAGTAGGATAAGCGCTTGACTGGCAAACTCAAGAAGTAAAAGGAAATTAATAGTATTAGATAAAAGTTTTTTTAAAAAAAGAAAAGCAGACAAGGAAATAGATAAAAACAGAGAAAATTAAAGGAAAAAAATAGAAAAAGAAGAGAAAATTAAAAGAGGGAGAAAAAAAGGTAGGTGGAGACCAAAACAAAAAAAAGGAAGAAAAAAGAAAATAAGATTTTAAAACACCTCCAAACTTTAACCACAATCAAAATAGAATAAAATAATATCAGATTAAATTAATCAAAGGAGAAAAAAGGGGCTCAACATTGTTTTTCCTCTGTATTTCTAAATGGGTAGTTCCTTTCCAGGAGCTTCATGCAGTCTTGGAATTCAGGAACCCACTGTCCTGTGTGCTCAGCTTTACAGTGTGTGGACTTGTAAGGTCCCTCATTCTCAAGAAACCCTTCCATCTGTCCACCCCAGACCATGGCAGTTAGCCAATCCAAGACCCGTCACTGCTCACATTGGTGACTAGGGATGTCGTCAGGCCACCAGGCTTGGCTGGAGGTAGGCAGAAGGGCAGGGGCTCTAGCAGGCTGCTGGGCCCCACGTCATTATCTTCAGAACCAGCCGTCTCTGAAAGCCACACCTGCCACGCCTGGCCTCCACCTGCACAGTACAGGGTCCCATGTCCTTCTAGCCAGAGCTTGGACTTCTGGGGTCTTCTGCCCTCACACTCTGTACAGCTGTCTGCCACGACTGTGTCTCATCCTGACACTGTGTTAGGGTAACATGAAAGTCCAGGAATAAAGATGTAGTGTGGCTGGCTAGGAGTTGGCAGTCCGACACAGTGAGCGTGGACGCAGCCAGTCTGACACACCTTGCGGGGTAAGGGGGCAGCTGCAGTGCTCTTCCTATTGTATTTTAGTGGGCTTCATTCCTCATTTATGCCAGCAAGAATAATCCTGGGCAAGGGCGGGCCAGATGGCTCAGCAGACTAAAGAGCCTGTTTAGGTAGAGCACAGGGACCGAGGTTCAATCCCTGGCACCACAAGCCATATAGGCTGGGGAGGTAGCTTGATGGTCTAAGTGCCTGCATGGCAAGCGCAAGGACCCAGGTTCAATCCCTGGACCACATGCCGTTTTAGCCCCACACCGAGCCCAGCCACCAAAACCGAAGGTGGTGGCACACACTTATAATCCCAGCTCTGGGGAGGCTGAAACAGGAAGATCATTATGTGTAGCAAGACCCTGTACCAAACTAATTAATTAATTAATTAAAAATAATAATAAAACTCCTAGCATCCAAAAGTAATTTTAACTTAAAATAACTGAGCAGCCTGGTATGTTGGAACACACCTATAATCCTATCGCTCTCGGAGGCTCAGACAAGACTATCCAAAGTTCAAGGCTTACCTGGGTAACTCAGTGACTCAGTGACCTTTTCTCAAAGTGAACAAAATGTAAAGGGTCTGAGGCTGTACCTCAGTGTGAAGGCTCAGAGAGAGAGACACAGAGACAGAGACAGAGACAGAGACAGAGACAGAGACAGACAGAGAAAGAGACAGAGAGACAAAAGAGAGACAGAAAAACAGAGAAACAGAGAACAAGACAGACAAAAGAGAGGCAGAAAACACACACACACACACACACAGAGAGAAACATTTGAACAAATTCATAACAATTAGCACTTGGAGGCAACGCCCCGCACCCCATCTGCTAAATAATGCAGTTTCATAAGCACGTAGTTCTCTTGCTCTGAGCTATTTGAGTCACACAATTAAGTAAATAAGAATTATTAGTGAGATTAGAATCCCTGGAGGATTATATGTTAGCAGGAAGGATTCCTGGAAATAATTAAAAGATGCTCCCTCTATTGAGCACAGTAAGAGTTGACAGTACTAACAGGAGTGTCCCTATGTGTGCGGGCTCCGAGGTGAGTCCTGGCTACCAACTGGTGGGTAACAGGGAGCCCCCCCGCAGGCATGTACAGGGAGCGCGTACCTGTGTCATACGTGTCCATGCTGACACTTCTGTGCAAGTGAATGAATCCAACAGAAAATAAGCCCAAAGGCATTCGCTTTTGTGTGTCCTAAGCACTGTGTTCTCTTAAATTTTGCGTACTTTCCTCACGGGTAGAAACAATTTTCGGGCAGCCAAGTCCCTGCAGATGACCCCTCTGCCTGCTGCCTGTGCCGCCCCTACCGGGAGCTCACTGGCCTCTGTGCCTTTGTCCCCACAGCATGGCGGACCTGCAGGGCCTGGTGGAGAGACTGGAGCGTGCCGTCAGCAGTCTGGAGCGGCTGTCCGCAGAGGCGTCCCCGGCCCCTGGAGTCTTCGGGGAGGTCAACGGTGTCAACGGAGGTAAGAGTGCGCATCCTCCGCCACCTGCACCCAGAGACGTCCTTAGCTTGATCCTCGTCCTGCAGGTCTCTGGACTGACGGGGTCCACCTGCCTGCAGCTCCTGTGGGCCTTCCTTCCTTTGTAACTGCAACATTAGCCAAGGGCAAGAGGTTTCTGGAAAGGAGAAAGAAAGTTTCTCGTAACTATGTTACACATTTTATGCACCAATTAAGAAAAAAAGAAAGAAAGAAAGAAAAGAAAAGCTTTTTAGCCTACAACTCGGAACAATCACCAGCATCCTCGGGCCTTAAGAGCACAATCCGGCTGCCCAAAGTCACTATTGTCTCCTTTTAGCGAGTAGACTGCTGTTTCCACACTCGGAGGCTAAATACATTATCTAAGTCATTATCACCAGGGAGAAAACAAGTATTCTCGAGTAGAAACGAATATAGATTTTTACTTTCTTTGTTTGTTTGTTTGTTTGTTTTGGCGGAACTGGGGATTGAACTGAGGCCCTTGCACTTGCCAGGGAAGTGCTTATTCTATTGAGCCATCTCCCTGGCCCTGATTTTTACTTTTGAGCACAAGCCTTTTACGTTTACAGCTCTGAAGGAGGCTGTGACAGATGTGAAGCCACCTGGGATAGATGTCACAGGGCCACACCGCATGGTCTTACCCTTGCCTCCTCCCAGCCAGATTCCCTCTCACCACTGCAGCCTTAATGCCAACTGCAATTTTTAAAAAAAAATTGTCTGATCAAAAATAAAAATGTTAGGCAGTCAGATAGCTCAGCGGACTAAAGCGCCTGCTTAGACAGAGCAGCGGCGGGCAATCCCCAGCGTACCTTGCCAGCCCCGCCCCCAGGGTGTGCTGAGACAGTGATTGATCCTGGACGTGGTGGTGCATGCCTGTAATCCCAGTGCTTGGGAGGCTGAAAGCAGGAGGATCACTATGAGTCCAGTCTGGATAGTGAGACCCTGTAGACCCTGCACTAAATACAGAAAAAAATAAATAAATAAAAATGCCTTCTTTGAAAGGGTGCCTTCTGTGGCAGGCTCTCCAAGTTATCTACAATAACTTTTCCAATCCTCCTTGCCTAGGGTTGCACTTTAACAAATAAAAATACAGGACAACAGTTACATTTGAATTTCAGATGAAGAACAATTAGGGGCTTGGAATGTATTTATCACTTACCTGAAATTCAAATTCAACTGGGTGTTCTGTATTTAATCAGATGGTGACTCTATTTTTGTCCCACATGGATCTCCTTATCTGACATGTTTTGAATCCTATTAGGTTCTTTCAGTGGGGAGAGAAGATACTGAGAGAGCCTGGGGAAAAAGAGAGGGCAAAATCGTCTTCCCAGGAGAGATCTCCGGTGATGCCAGTCAGGCACATTTGGAGCTGAGCTGGGCCTTGCTGTGTGTCATGGGACAGAAATTACTGCGCAGGCACCAACGTGCTGGCCATGTCTTTGCCCCCCAACAAGATGAAAACTAAAATGCTTTGAATGAGTTGAAAGGCGGTGCTGCTTGAAAGAGCGCTGCCAGAGACCTGTAAGGTTTTTTTTTAATATATTTATTTTTTATTGAGAAATAAATATGAATGAAACAGTTTCACAGCTGATTAATAGGACAGTTTTGATAGTCAATATACTGTACATTGTTATCTTCTTAGTGGTTATCCATAGTACAAGAAGCAGACAGGATACTCTGTCCAAACACTGTTAGTACACCTCTTTCTTCTCATTGAATTAAGCGAAAGTAGCTGTAAATTTATCCTATTTTGTGTATATA